AGAAGTGTGAACTATAATTTTTTATCTGCTCATATCATGACCTCATTTTTCAAATATGGTTTTGCTTAATATAATGTAACTGTAATCAACTCCAACACTCCTGTACTAGAATGTTATTATTAAGGGTTGACATAAGAAATACCTTTTCAATTAATTAAGGTTTTGGTTGAGATAAAAAAGTGAGTGTCACGAGCGGGATTCGAACCCACGACCTTCGGCTAAATACGCCGCTGCTCTACTACTTGAGCTATCGTGACTTCGATCCACTCGGACACTAACTTCCCGACTCAAGTCATTCAAAGCTTGTGATGGTCGTGGGTTCGAATCCCGCTTGTGACACTGACTTTTTTATCTCAACCAAAACCTTAATTAATTGAAAAGAATTTATTTGGTCAAGCGGACCACGAAATCTAATAAAATATAAGAAATACCTATTTTTGTTAACTTTTTTGTTTTTATCTGTTTTCTTATTCTCTGTTAACTGTACCTCTTATGCAAATAAATTTTCAATTTCAAATTTTAAGTTTTAATAACAGAATCGATTGGGTAAATAGCGTTTTCCTGCATGTTAGTGCAAGGACTTGTACAATATTTTATCGTTTCTTATCATCTTGGTCCGCTTATCCTCGCTGTTTGGACGTGTCAGGCGTTGTTTCCGTTTTTCTCAATATGAAATGTTCAGTGTTACTTTGGCTACTAAGATCAATTAAGAAGAAAATCTCGCAAATATTCAGGTTAGAATTAGCTTTATTATTTATCTTTCCTTTCAATTTCAGAGAATCTAAGTATATAATAAATGTGTGGTGATTAGTGACCGTTAATCGATATTTATTTAGAAATCGTGAGATGCGGTCTGGTGTGATGTAGGTTTCAGAAAAACATTTTCTTTATCGTGCCAACGTTTCGATCTTTATTGAGATCATCTTCAGAGCTCAAAGTGTTTGTCTTCTGTGTAATTGTGCTATTCTTCGTGTCGAGAGTTAAATAAATATATAATAAATATGGAATAACGTGAAAATCAGAAAAACGGTGGAAGGTCTAGACGGACTCGTTTTATTATTGTACAAACCTCAAAATTTCGGTTCGAAATTCTTAAATTAACGGCTTTTTATGAATTCAGTTAACGTTTTCTTTCGCATGAAAAATTCCTCCCCGCCTCTTTGACCTCAGACTAACTGATATAAACGACTGCTATACGTTCCGGGTTCTAATGCCGACAAAAATGGTACATTGTTATGAAACTTCATATTATTCCCTTAATTGAAACAACGTGAGAGTGAAAATATCCCGTTCCGACATAACCTGTAGTTGGCCATATTTAATAATTTCCAAAGCAACAGAAGTCTGCCGGTAGAATCTCAATTTCCGTCCATTTCCCTGTAAGAATCCCATTAGAAAAACCCTAAGTAAATAATTATTGGACAAAACCGAGATTTATATATTAAGCCCATGGTAATTAACTTATCACTCGCATGAGACGTAATGGACTGACTAAATCTATGGAAAAGTAGAATGATAATGTGAAATTATATACTAGAACAATGAAAGACATTTAATACCATAAAAGCCTGCAGGGAAAACAATCAACTCAGTTTATCTAACTTCTATCGTCTCCAAGATGATTCTTAGGAAAAGTAGTACAACATCTGTAAATTGTCATTGATGAGGGTCACACAGGATTAAAGTAGGTGGAAAAAACTTCGTATATCATGCTCGAAGCAATCATTGCCGACATTACCTAGGCTACCAAGAAAACCAAGAGGGAGTAACTGACAATCAATCATCTACTACTTCTTAAAAGAACGATCGAGTCAATCAAACTGAGCTAAGGAACTAGGAAAAGTACCATAATCCAAAAGGCTGCAGTGCATGGAAAATACCAAATCTATCATCATCAGGACACCCTCTTTTACCTTCCAGAAAGGGCGTTGAAGAGGATTTTAAAAGAAAACTTTTTAGTGCCGTGGAATATAGCTCATGGCTGGATTAACAGACCGTCAGAATTGGAAATAAAATTATGTATAACGAAGTATGAATAGGAAATCTACTGAAAGAAGCACGTGTGATTAAATGGAGATGGGCTGGCTATGTGGGTACCCAGGGGCACCAAAGGAGGAAGGGATGTAGTGATAGTGATGGTAATGATGAGGATATTAGGAAGGATACGTGATGTTCCCTAAGTTCTTTAACCTTATGGTTATTGTATTTTTTTTAGTTCCTTAGTTGAGTTCGAATTATTTTTGGGTATTCCTTGTACCCTTGGTTATATTTTCATTTGCCGTTATTAATTATTTAATATTTCCAATTATTATTTCATATAATCGGAGGAAGTACATTTTTCCTTTTCATTCGTTCTTCCTTATCTAAAGGGACATTGTTGAAACCTCCGATAAGGGAGTCTCTTTCTTTAGAGTTCGAAAGTAGTGGCATGATGACTGTCCCAAGAAGTTTCACAGTATAGCCATGTCGTGAAGAAGATTTCTCAGATACCAGTGTCCACTATAGACCCCTAGCACTCTTCTCAGTTTTGCCCAGTTTAGCTGTAGCATGTTTTTTTTTTTTTTATATACAAGAATTCTTTTACTCTAAGTTCACTCTGCCTGACACCTCTAAACATGCGTATATTGCATATTTTGGTTTTGTCCAGTGATTTAGATGCTGGGCCTAAAAATGGTCTTAGATCCTTTGGATAGTTCAATAAAAATTGATAAACGATATTTTAATTGGATGAATGGATTGGTAGAGAAAGAGAGAGAGAGAAAGAGAGAGAGAGAGAGAGAGAGAGAGAGAGAGAGAGAGAGAGAGAGAGTGTGTGTGTGTGTGTGTGTGTGTGTGTGTGTGTGTGTGTGTGTGTGTGTGTGTGTGTGTGTGACATGTGGTGCAAAGTGACGAAAGAGAGAGGAGGATTATAAAAAGGCAAAAAATTATGTAGGGCCAATGTCATGTAGATGTTTTCTCAGATACCAGTGACCACTGTAGACCCCTAATGCTCTTCTCAGTTTTGCCCAGTTTAGCTGTAGCACGTTTGTTTTTATACGAGGATTCTTTAACTCTAAGTTCAATCTGCCTGACACCTCTAAACATGCGTATATTTCACATTTTGGTTTTGTACAGTGATTCAGATTCTGGGCTAAAAATGGTCTTAGATCCTATGGCTAGTTCAATAAAAATTGATAAATGATCTTTTAATTGAATGAATGGATTGGTTGGTTGGGTATGTATGTGTGTGTGTGTGTGTGTGTGTGTGTGTGTGTGTGTGAGATGTGGTGTAGAGTGACTAACCAGAGAGGAGGATTATAAAAAGGCAAAAAATTACGTAGGGCCCATGTCGTGTAGATGTTTTCTCAGATACCAGTGACCACTATAGACCCCAACGCTCTTCTCAGTTTTGCCCAGTTTAGTTATAGCATGATTGTTTTTTTATTCGAGGGTCCTTTTAGTCTAAGTTCACTCTGCCTGACACCTCTAAACATGCGTATATTGCACATTTTGGTTTGGTCCAGTGATTCAGATTCTGGGCTTAAAAATGGTCTTAGATCCTATGGATAGTTCAATAAAAATTGATAAATGATCTTTTAATTGAATGAATGGATTGGGTGGTTGGGGGTGTGTGTAGGGCCCATGTCGTGTAGATGTTTTCTCAGATACCAGTGACCACTGTAGACCCCTAACGCTCTTCTCAGTTTTGCCCAGTTTAGCTGTAACAATGTTTGTTTTTGTACGAGGATTCTTTTACCCTAACTTCACTGTCTGGCACCTCTAAACATGCTAATGCATATTGTAGGACCCTACAGATCGGACGTATTTGATGATCCTGGTCCGAATATCCTTGCTGTTTTTAGTCAGTTACGTTTCAACGTCCCCATTTTTGAAGGTCTGGAATTGTTTGCAATTCGGTCGTATTTGGTAATCCTATTCTGTTTGGTTCTTTGACACTCGTTCGGTGTTGGTTTGTATGTTTTTCTGCCGATTATGTTCTTCAGAAACGATCATGCCATACGTTCATCACCTTGCCGAAGGATACGAATAGTGAATACCTCAGGTACTGATAGTGGCGAAATGCTTGGATAATGGACCTACAGTTCGATCGTTCACGATCATTTCTGTCCGCCTATCCGCATTGTTTTTGTCTAAATCTGGATCTCAAATAGTCAATCCAAAAGGGATCATCAACCCAAAGACCACAAGGGGAAATTATTACCAGCGGTTCCTCAAGGATCGTTTTTGGTTCAACTTTTTTCTTTTTCAACCCGAACCCCATTCTTCCTTCTATGATTCTTTTTATATGCAAAACTATTATATACAAAAACTAATATTTTAAAAACAATTTTAATTCTATTTTATTTTTCACATTTCTAATTTCTAGTCCCTCCCGAATCGCCAAAAGTTCATCATTATGTGTAGAGGTTAGTGACCGTTAATCGATAGTTATTCAGATATCGGTCGTTACCGCATCTCACGATATCTGAATAAGTTCATCATTATGATCACAGGTTATGATATGTACTCTGGCTTGACCGTAGGTTAACTAGTACCGGTTCAACTATGTTCACCGACTCCAGGCCAACGGCCTATCATCTCTTTATAAAATATTAACATTGTGTATCATAAAATATGAGAGGACCGTGAAAAAATATACTATTGATATGTGTATTTTTCTTGAAGATTCCATGACGTTCTAATTTTACTAAATTCAAGTATAATAAAATAAATTGTTGCTCAGCATTTCACCCAGATGCACAAAACTTACAAAAAGTTTGACTAGTAAAAGAAAGAAAGAAAAGGTTTTCCAATAGTACATTTACTTAGAACAATCCCAAAAACACCCATTTAAAACATAATTTTAAAAATGTAGCACGATTTAAAAAAAAAAAATTTAAAATGAGATAAAATAAGGAGTCACGGTTTCTGTGTTTTCATCGATTTTTCTCGGCAATAAGGAAATTAATATATAATATAATATGCTTTATAATTAATTTATATAATAAAAATTAACTAACCTTTGTAGTTCTCGGAAGGAAGCTGACTCTTCGGCTCATCTTGCTTTACATCCAATATAACTCTGAAAATAAAGAGAAAAACATCAGATAATCCCATCTTAACAGAATTAATTAAAAATAATTGTGTTAAATATTTAACATCTTTCACTCGATAGAGGATAAAACGTCAAGAAAGTTAGACTAATTCGAAATGACGGATTATCCAGCCCATGTCATATTATCCGAGGCAAGAGATCCTAGAGGAAGAAAACTTTTGACTAAGTACGTTTTGTAGAGTTAGAATGTGTTAGTTGAAATTTATAAGATCAAAATTATAACTTCATATAAAATGGCTTTGTCATAATTTGTCATAATGTCATTTTCGATAATTTTCCGATCGATTTGGTATGTCAGACGCATTTTGGTTACTTCTGGTGATCTGAGGGTTGATGAACCATAGTTTTTTAATTGAGATAAAAAAGTCAATGGGACGAGCGGGATTCGAACCCACGACCTTCGGCAAGATACGCCGCTGCTCTACCACTTGAGCTATCGTGACCTTGATCCATTCGGACACTAACTTCCCATCTCAACCTCACCTCTCGAATTTTCCATCCTTTTTACCATTTTTCAAATGTAATCTATTTGATTTTTGGCGACAAATGGATGGCGAGTGGATCGAAATAAAAAAAAATATTCACAACTTCAAAAATGCATAAAAGGGTCTTCAGACAGAGTGAAGGATAATGAATTGCAATTACCAAGTCAAGATACTCCAGAACACTTAATTTTAATTCTGGAATTAAGAAAAAATAATGGGGGCATTGCTTGGAATCTAATTGAATCTTTCATTCTTTGCAAAACCGGCTGCAGTTTAATATAAAAAAGTCAAATATTAAAAGCTGTCCCCTGAGAACATTAAGCGTGATTAAACTACGGATCTGGGATCATCAAATTTTAATACTTTTTTGGTGATACTAAAATCTTAGGAACGTGTCTGAGCGGTTTTGCAGATGGTTGCAAGTAGTATTAAATGAGATTAAAAATATAAAATGTAATAAAAACGAAAAGATGCTTCCAGTAAAGTAGACAAACAACTACACAAAACTAGGAATTTTCAATATAAATAATAAAATTATATATTTATACTATGTAATAGTACATTTAAATTGGGCTGGGTTAGCTAGGGGCAATTTATTTCTCATTGAAGTCCGCTGTTCCAATTAAAAATTCATAACTTTTAACTAGATATCGATATTGAAACTTTTGAAATCGTTGGAAAGCTGAAGTACTCCTTTTTCAGCCGATGTCAACGATTTGGTGGGTTCCTGTGTCATTAAAAGAGAGAAAAGTAAGTAAGAAATCAATAAAAACTCCCGTTTAATTTATATCTTCGGTCTGATTTATTTACAGAGGTCCGGTTTGTGCTATTAGTCGGTTCAAAACCCTGGGGAAGATTCTTTGAAATCGGTGATCCCACGTCTCTAATTACTATAAGACTGAAATATACCCGTGAAGATGGAGTAAATAAAAACGTGTCTGACAGACCAAAAATAGCGAGGATAGGCGGACCAGGATCAAAAGCTACAATCTATAGGTTCGCAAGGCGCACGAGTTTCGACATTTAGCCATCATCAGTGTTCGTTACGTTCAAATATCATAAATCAAATTCAACATCAATAACATACATAAAAGATGTAAAACAATCATCACATTCCACACATCAAACATTTCTGCTTAGTGTAAGTCTTCAACAATTTGGCTTTCCTTTTCCTATTTATCCCCGTCTATATATATAATCCTGAAAGGATAATCCGGCCGAACTATTACCAATGTTTTTCCTTTCACCTCAAAGAAGCCTACTCCTCACAAAAAAATGTCTTTCTATACGACTTCCTTCTCCACCCCTTCAAAATCCAACGTATATAAACATAAAACAGCAATATCTCAATGGCATTCTCAACAGGACACACAAAAATGGCACAATTACGCAGAAAACAAACACTTGTGAGTGAGTACAAATACTTTGATTAAATATAAATTTTCTAGCATTGCATAAATTCATTTTTTTCACATCCTACATGTATTTGTAAAATGTAAACAATGTTTATAAATCCCAGGCCCTGAAGATGATCTCAATAAAGATCGAAACGTTGGCACGATAAAGAAAATGTTTTTCTAAAACCTACGTCACACCAGACCGTATCTCACGATCTTCAAATAATCATAATTTATAATCTATATTTCTCGTAAATTAAACGAAGAAAAAAATCATGATTTATAATTATGGTTTGTTAGAAGTAATGTAATTATTAAAAATTAAACAATTAATTGTAATATTTAGTTAATGATTAATTGTATTTATTTGTTTTCATTTTTTTTCTGTGTCGACCAAAAATTGAAGTCGAATGTAAATAGACCTCCGGCAGATGGACTCTATAAATTTACTTTAATTATATATTATATATAATATATTATAATTATATACTATATGTATGTTTATTACTTTTTTCTTGCAATGAAGTATATATTATTATTAATAGGCACACAATCGTAGGGAGGAATTGTTTAAGAAGAGGGAAAATATTTTAAGTTTTTTTTTTTAAGTGTAAAATTGGGTCTCAATTTAGTTGTTGCCAAAAATTACCAATTACGTAAATTCACTATTTTTCGTGGTCCGCTTGACCAATTAATATCTTTTAATTAATTAAGGTTTTTTTGGTTAAGATAAAAAGTAAGCGTCACGAGCGGGATTCGAACCCACGACCTCCGGCTCGATACGCGGCTGCTCTACCACTTGAGCTATCGTGACCTCGATCCACTCGGACACTAACTTCCCACCTCAACCCCACCTTTTGAATTTTCCCTTTTTTTTTGCCATTTTTCAAATGTCGTGTAATCTATTTGATTCTCGTCGACAAATGAAATGGCCACGGAGAGCTTTAGGGAAATATACTTCATTTTAATTCATTAAATTCACTATTTTTCGTGGTCCGCTTAACCAATTAATATCTTTCAATTAATTAAGGTTTTTAGTTGAGGTAAAAAAGTCAGCGTCACGAAAAATAGTGAATGGGAAATTAGTGTCTGAGTGGAGCAAGCTCAAGTGGTAGAGTAGCGACGTATCTAGCCGAAGGTCGTGGGTTCGAATCCCTCTCGTGCCATTGACTTTTTTATCTCAACTAAAAACCTCAATTAATTGAAAATAATTACCAATTACTTTTTTCAACAAAAACCTATATACAAGTTGTACATTAAGAAAAACAAAGATTGGAACCACTAAATAATTTTTGAGAAAATGCTACCGAAAAATGACAACTTTAGACAAACCTTGAAAAATTGATGAAATACGGTAAAATTTTAAATATTAATGTTTATATAGGAAGTGCTCTCTTCTGACAAAGAAATGCTAGTAAAAATTAAAATTCATCGAGTAGAAGTGTAGATAAAGAAAGAAATAGAGAACAACTTTTTTCGAAAGTCCGTGGCTTTCAACTAAGCCCCGCGCGTTGGCCCAATTGGCTTTGGTGCGCTGGTCTTAATCGTAAGAACAAAGCACCATTGTGAACCGTGATGACAGCATCGCCGGAGACCTCAGATGCCGTGGGCTCGGTGAACTGAAATTACACTGGAAGTGTCAAGGCCGACCGGGTTCTCGTTTCCACTCCGGCCGTGTTCCTCCAGTCTTTCCTCTCTCGAAAGGCCTTTAAACGAGCCCGTTTGAACGTTTTCTTTTACCTTTTGTTTTCCTTCGGATGATATATCATTTGCCGTTTTGCCAGATCATCCTCGTCCGGTTCACCTTCGGAATCTTTCTATACGTAACATCCCGATCGCCTGTCCCAAATTGCATTCTTTATTCCTTCTCATTTTTAAGTATGTTAACATCCAATTAAATTTTCGATTTTTATCCAAGTCCCCACTCCCTCAAAATATTAAAATCAATCCCAAGAGGGTCCTGCCGACGAAAGCCTCACTTTCTTAGCCTCACAAAATCGATTTGGTATAAATCTTGCTGATTAAAGTTTACCGTTAATTTTTTAATTGTTAAACTAATTCCAAGTTAAACCTGAATAAGGTTGAGTTTAATTAACTAGGTCTTTGTGATAAGAATAATTAAGTCTTTTTATTAGCGCTGTCTGCGGATTTAGCGTTAATCCGTTTCTATCCTATTTTCTGACCGTTCGATTATTGAAAGTTTCTAATATTTTTTTTCCTTTTTTTCTATTGTTATAACATGAAATGGTGTTTTAAACCGACTTGATATTGAACAATTCCTTTAAAAAGCCGTGAGCATTGTAATGCAAATAACTTTGAACCGGCACAAAAGTGGTTCAATCAATACAAATTGCCTGGATAATTATTGAAGAAATTGTTCTGAATAAAATATATCGTTTGATATTAACAAATAATTTATTCATTTATGAACTCGATGCCGATAAATTTGGAACTTTGTAATTGAGAAGTTGTAAAATAATTCATGAAACTTCATAATACCCTTAATATTATTTTATAAAAATTTATTTATTAATATTTATTAGTTAAAACAGTGTTAGAGCCTGGATCCGGGTCATGTGTCCAGGACAATGAATAAGCGGACAAAGCGGCGAAAAGACCCGACATTACCCAGAGATGTCAGTCAGTGCAGCGGCTCCGATGGAAAACCTAAGCGATGTTTTTTTTTTTTTTTTGCATCGTCGTTTGAACATCCGCCATTTCTTTTTTCTTTTTTTTCTCTCCCCTTCGCAGCATGCGGAAGCCCGAAGAGGCAGGCAAGGCGCAGCCGGAAAGCGGGAGAAGCCCAAGCCTGCCTAAGGGGACCAGCACTCATACTTATTTATTTCTTTTTAGGGCCTATATACGGTTTCCATTTTCGGGGATGTGGATAAAAACCATTTATAACACCATGGAAAAGACCACATCCCCATAGAATCCGGGGCAAAACACGTCCAGGCTGCTTATGGCACCCGACCCCACAGTCCAGCACCACCCAAACCCACCCGTCCCCGGGCCACCCCACGCTACGAACGAGTCAATTTAATTTTTTATTCGTTCCTGCCGTATGTACTTCGTGTTGTCAAAT